TCACGCCGCCACATCCCCAGCATCAGTCAACATCCACGAAGCAAAGTTGCCAGGCAGACTCCCAAACACACATGTTGAACATGCAAAGATGCTCCCGGCAAATTTACTGTCCTGCAGGCCCCAGCTTTGAGCATGTCTAAGCAACTTGTCGGGTTCACATTCTTTTTCACGCCGTTTTTCCGAAAGCTCCTGCAAAGGGTTCTTCAAACATAGCTGCTGTCAACTCACTTTTATCAACATCATCTGCCATCATCATCAGCATTATTTTTCAACATCAGCCTTCTCAAGGCATCGTTCATCACCCTGGCAGCACCATCAAAGCACTAATTACTTGTATGAACAAGGCCTTTACAAAACCACCAGTGGATAAAGATGCACGATGAAGGTGTGTTGCTACGTGCGGCAGGCCTATAAAGGAGGATAGCGGCCCTGATTGGTGTAGACATACAGGTGTAGGAAAGAACATATGTACAGATACAGGCGTATCAGTACAGGTGTGTAGATTCGTGCAAGTGTATTCATACAGGTGTTGATGCACAGATGTCACAATACAAATAAATGAACACGTACAAATACGTGGAATACACGTCGTGTACAGATACATTCTTCGGAAGAGGTTCTTTCGAGGGGGTGGCCCTGTCCTGGGAAGGTGGAGGCGGCCCTATTGGGGTGGAGGCCATCGCTTAGGTTGGTTTTCTTCTCTTCCTCAGGTAGCGAGAGCTTTTGGGTTTCTTAGTTCTATCAGAAAGTGGTGCCAGTGTGCGGCTTGGAGCCGGGGTGGTCCTGTTGCCTCAAGGTGCTGTAGAGTTTACTGCAGAGTGATGCTGCAGAGTGCTTAGCCGCTTAGCCTCCACCCTAGTAGCATCCTTGCTCCTGGTAGCGATGTGCTTTGTTCCTAGTAGCTTCTTGTTCCTAGTATATAGTAAGGCCAGGAGCTACTAGTAGCAGTAGCGTCTTTGCTCCTAGTAGCATCCGCTTTGCCCACTAAATTATTTGCATTCTTTGGCTATTTGGGGTCAAGAGTGTCAGAAATACAGGCCTGGGGGGAGGCTAGAGTGTGAAGCTGCTGCTGCCGTGTGATCTTCCGAGGCCCCATGTCAGGGGTATGTAGCCTAGACTCATCATCACTATATCTACTAGGAGCAAGGACGCTCCTGGCCATACTACTGGGAGCAAAAAGCTACTAGGAACAAAGGGCATCGCTATTAGTAGCAAGGACGCTACTCTGTGTTCCCATTTTCGGCGAAAAATGACGGCTCCCGCCAACTACCCGGCCACGCATGGCAGACGGGACGCCGTGCGGCCACCACAGCCAAGTGGCCTTGGCCACGTTTCACGGCATGCGCATGATGGGCAAGACACTGTTGCTTGCATCGCTGGCGCCTGCCCCCATCCCCCAACGCTATTAGGGTTGGAGGCCATCGCTGGTAGGTTCGGGGTGAGGCTACGGGCTGCAGAGTCGAGAACGGGTACATTTTGTAAAGTGTACTTCGGAAGCAGGACATGCTTCTCGCGCCGGGCGAAAGTATGGATGGGTTCTCAGGGGAAGCTATGGGACCGATTTCTTCCAAACAACGGAGGAGCCGTATTACCATTCCACCGAAACAGTCCCAATCCTTTTGCAGCAGCGGCACCCAAAGCAATTCCGTTTCAGGCAGTCCCTCTTATGATACCTCGATGGGGCAGCACACGTATGTGGTCTTGCCCTTCAGAGGCTTGGCAATTGACAATGTCAAGTTGCACCTAGAGGTTGTGCGCTCGCGAGGTGGTGTTAGAGGACACAATCAGGTGGCAACACCGCCGACTGTCGAGCCTCATTTTGAGAAGCAGGAGATAGGGGAAGAGCGTAAAATCTAGGAAAAGGGAAATGCTTTCAGAATGGAATAGACGGAATAGAGAAGCATTGTGGCAAATGGCAAGGAGAACTGGACGAACTTCATCAGGAGGCAGCCTGCATTTTAGGTTGGAGGCCAACGCTACTAGGTTGGAGGCCATCGCTATTAGCTTGGAGGCCATTGCTATTTATTTTTCATTTGCCGGGCTTGTGTGCCGGGTGTCGTTCGGTGCAGGTGGAAATGGTGCAGAAAACCCCCAAGAGCCTTCAGAGACTCCCTGTGGCAATGGCAGGCGTCAGCCTTTCGAGTTGTAGGTGGCATTTCGCAGATCGCGTGGGACAAGTAGACAAGCAAAGCAGTCTGCCTTTAGGAGTGAGGGCTGTTTCAACACAAGTCGCCGGGGAACTGTTAAAGGATGTTAAAGGACCCGCCAGAACGCAAGCAGACAGCAAGAGCACAGGCTGAAAGAACAGAAGTGTCCTGGAAGTCTGCAAGAACTTACCACTTTGCCTGCTGGAAAGTTCATTCATTCTATCAGTAACGACCTTCCTCCCAAACATTTGGGTGCATTCTATTTGCGTGCTATGTCAACCGGCGCCTTGCTCCAAATGGCTGTCATCCATGCAATCAAGAAGGTTGAGCTCCTGTTGCCATAAAATGCACATCTTCTTGCCAGCAGTGGCGCTCTCGTTGGTATGAGTAAAGTGGAATGAGGTCCACGACCTGAACTTGAACCTTACTAAGCTCTTTCTTGAGCCCAGATCTTTTTGTTCTTTTTAATTGATACTAGTAGCTACTTGCTCCTAGTAGTGCGGCCAGGAGCCCCTAGTAGCGTCCTTGCTCCTAGTAGCGATGCCAGGAGCCCCTAGTAGCTCCTTGTTCTTGTAGTTTTTTTGGAAGAAAGTTGTTTTTCAGCGGTGTAATCTTGTAGCATGTCTTGCTGCTGACGCTTTCCCGCAGTACTTTGCTGCTGTCCATTGGGGCCGTTGCCCGGGCGGTGCGGCTGGTGCAGTGGCATGCCCCGCCGCCACTCCTGGTGCCCGAAGACTTGCGAGTGGACCCGAATAAGTGACCCTTGACTCTCCAAAACTGATTTTGCCCGCTGCGTGACTCAATTTTAGAAGCAAGCACGCTACTAGGGGATCCTGGCATCGCTACTAGTTGAAGGTGAATTCTTTTGGGAGGACGCTCGTGTGTGCTGAGGTACAGGGGCGCAGAGCGGGGCATTCGCATGAAGCAGCGGCGGCCGGTGGCTAAGAAAAAGGCTGCCGTGAAGAGCGCGGCAGGAGGGAGACTCGTGTGACAAAATCGAGCAGCAATCTCCAATCAACCAAACAAGTTGTCCTTGAGATCTTTTAAGAGACAGCTTTTTCATGTTTTTGCAACTGACTTTTTTCATCCTTTTGCTGTTTGAGCTTCCTTTGAGTTTCCAGGAGGGCCTCCACTGAAGGCGATGCACGCGATGCATGTAATCAACATGCGTCAAAGTACCCTTCTTTGCTAACTTCAATTGTTTGCAGGCTGAAGTGGAGGATGAGTACAAGTCCAAGCTAAGGGCATTGATGCAACAGCTCCAGGCGCTTTCTTGCAAGAACATTATAGCTACTAGTAGCGTCCTTCCTCCTAGTAGCGATGCCCTTTGTTACTAGTAGCTTCTAGTTCCTAGT